AGGAAAACTTTATTCATTTTAATTTTTTTAGTTCTTGGTAAGAAAGATTTCTTAACAATTATATCTGTTCTGGTTGGCTGAAAATGATTAAGTTATTTCAAGTTCAATTTAATAACTACTAAAGGTTGTCGGTATGGTATAGTTTTAGCACAAACTACTTTGAGTATAAGTGGTGCTAATTTAATTGGTTCAGAGAGTACAGATGAATCACATACCTGTGCCCAAATGCCATTATAGGGTCAAACGGTAGGTGAGGAATCAGAAACGAGGTATACACTATCGGAGAACGTCCATTGTGCGCTTATGGTATCAGCTGACAGTACTTTGTTTGGATTGAAAGGATAATCATAAATTAACCTGTGATTCATCCGCATTATTGCTCTGTTTAACAATTGAATTTGCCTACTCATATCGGTCTCATTCGCATTATAATTGGCACATTACCGTAAGAAGTCTACGTTGTAACTTATTCGAACTACACAACACTAGGGTATATTTTGTTAATCCAATAAAGCAATCACGTATACCAATATTATATTTTAACAAAACGCAAAAACTATTTGACATTTATTGTGAAAATGAGAAAAAAGAAATGAAATGTACATAGCATACAAAAATTCAATGACAGACTAAAAGTTTTCATCCGAGTTATTTATTACCAAACCATGATTTACTAACTAGATAACTGATACAAAAAAATATATCAGCATTCGTTCAAATCTTAAAATTACTTTAAAAATAGCATGTATAGAAAAACTAATATATAAGTTAAGAAAAATAAAATAAAACAACACTTTTTAATAACTATGCATACATTTTATAGTAATGATGTAATGTAAATAGAAATAATAATAGAAGTATAAATATAAAATATCTCACAAAACAAATGAACTATTCAATCGCATTACACAATTTGTTATTTAGAGAATCATTAAGTCAATAAAATGTTTTAAATTGATACACAAGAAAACCAACATTTCAATTCAATCTATTACAGAAAATATTTCCTTAGAGTAGTCATAGAACTCGGTAAGTTGGTCACATCGGTAGGTTATACCAGTGTCCAACTGATGAAGCGGAACTATACTGACCCAAATGAAAAAAGCGCAAACTGCCTCAAGGTTATGTAGTATATATGTCAAGAGAAGAAATCATCTATCAATGGTGAAATAGGTTATCTTACTGAGAAATTATCAGGCATTGACTGCATTATGAATCATTCAACTAAATCATTATTCAACAAGCACTGAAATGTTGACATTAACACTCAGACTTCAGGATTAGTATATACAATTTAAGATTTTGAATTACAGCAGGATTAATTTTGATATCACATACAGACCAACTGTACAACATGGTACCGATTTCACACCATAATCCACTATTTTAACTATGATGCCAAATTCCTAAAATTCACGTCTCAATGAAAAAACCTTGAATTAACTTTAAACATGTACCTTAATTCCAAACTCCCAAATTTAATCGCATAGCCTAAATCGTACTCCTAACAATTTACCGCTTACATACTAAATCTTAGTCATTGTAAAATATATCATTTGTTTATTTATGTTGTCTCTTGACTGAATACAACATATTTATATTTGAATGTCTTTTGATGATGTAGTTCAGCTTTGCTATCTAATTTTACAATATGCATAATCTGTGTTCATACAACACACAGTTAACTGAGCAATACCATGTACTAAAAAGTTTAATTTATTTGAAATCTGACCATAAATCAATATACATAAAACATGTAAAAATCACTATATTCAGAAATGGAAAAATTATTTTCAAATACACAACAACTGTTTATCTGTATTCTTTGCCTTTTGCTTATCGTATCCTAGATAAGTCAGTTTTTTTGATTGGTTAGTTGAATTACACATAGTAAGAAATCAGCATAAAAAAAACAACAAAAGTAAAAAGGAACGAGTAGGAAGCGAATTAGCATCTTTACATTTTAAAGAAATAGAAAAAAGAGAATGCTAAACGCTCAATGAATGTTTTTACTGTAAGTGATTTTCACACCAGATAATCACATATATACGATGGTTTCGTTGAAATCATCTTGTATCACTAAACATACATAACCTAACCATCGTAAGCAATCAAAGTAAGCATAGCAGTATTCTCAGATTATTGAAAATGTTTACATCGAATTCATTACACACATTTATTAAATGGCCTATCATCATTTCTCCTGAAGACTATCTTCAATACATGACACGTAATAATATACATGAAACCGTTAAACTTTTGTCAAACAAGATTTATTGCCTCTTAATTAAAAGCTTTATACGTGGATAAATAAATAAGCAGCCCCGACAGTAACTCAATTTATCAATTTAAAAATATTCTTAATTAGAACTGACAACTAAGAGTTCAGTCTGTATGAAGAGAGAGAAGAGTAAAAACCATTGAGGAGTCCTAAATATTCACAAGAACGACTGAAATATTAGGATAACCGGTAAGCTACAGTAAATTCTACTTCAAAACGATTGAAGCTTCTTCCGGAATGATGCAATTGAGTAGGAATTCAAATAGACCGGATGTGTGGTACAGAGGTAGAAAATCGCAAAAGAACAACTGTTTTTATGGTAACACACAACGATCTTGGAGTATATCACAAAGTAAGCAAAATAAAGTTAGTGACAACTAATCAGTTAACAGTAAATACTATTGAAGAAATATGAATTAGGAATACGTCATTGAGGTCATCCGCTTAAGAAAGAACTAAAACGTAATAATCAAAAAAAAACTAGATTACCGGATCATTTTTTAACAAAAGGTTTATTCTAGTACAGAAAGTCGTGACAACTAAACTTTAACAATGAAAAGTGTGCAACAGTTACCAACCAGCAGTATTGGAGGGTGGTTGAGCAATATTCCCAATTTATATGCAAACCATTGAGTCCTGGCCCAGAGCTAACTGCATGCTAAATGACCTAAAGGTCCTGGATCAGATACTCACTGGAGTAATGGATGTACAGTGTAGCTGAAGTGACGCAATGCGATGAAACAGCTGTCCAGTGCCTCCGATTTCTCAATAGTTATCTAATACTACTGTCACCTACCAATTTCTTTATCAAATGTTCATGGTTTTGTTACTAATCGATCGTTATTGAGCATTTACATGACAAATAAGATGCATGAGGATTCTATTGATTAATTATTGAAGTTTCTAACTATTTCTGAAAATTAGTAACATTACGTTTACTGTCTGTTTACTGTAATTTTGATTGATGTGTAAATATGATAGAATATGTCTTATGCAAATAGAAAATATATCAACAGTAGTAATGAGTTGAAATGTATCGTTTTCATTTATATATTGTTTTTTTTTGGTATCTATTAAAAGTAAATGCACTCACTCTTTACTGGTTTGATAAAATCAAACTGTATTTGAATATGAAAATATGTATATGTTTGAAAGTTACATTTTTTTTGTTGAAGATTGATTGTCAACTAATCATTAACACAGAGAAAAATGTTATTGCTAAGAAATGATCCGGTAATTTTGTTTTGTTTAATTTCTATGTGTTAGGTCTTTATTCAATGAAGACACTTTAATGGCACGTTATTCTAATTCACATTTCAATTCATTAATGAAAACTATGAAATCCACCAATCTATTTAAAATCTTTATGGTAAAAATATTCTACATATTTTACAGCATCCCGTGAAGTAAATAATGCAAAGACTTATTATTATTTAAATAACCAATATTACTTACCGCGTGTAAAATTCCAATGTCAATCAATGAACCACTTTTTAGATAAATGCTTTGTAGAGAGTTTTGTCTCATGATATTATGATGAGAAAAATGAGAAAACAGTGACAAATTTATCTTTTGAGACGACTATACTCCTATTTCTTAGTTCATGTGACTTACATGTTGCCTTAATTGCAAAGATCCTTTTGACTGATTGATTTGTATCGTATATTTTTCTGTTCTCAAGATATTGTAAATTATTCATAAACCTATTATTATAATTTAAATCTTAAACAGTTTATTTTAGTATACATTGTAGATATATAGCATTTATAGTTACTTATGGTCCAGTTATTCATGTATTTAGTCATAGATCATTGACGTATTGCTGAGTCTTGGGAAAGGAAATTCGACATAACTAGTGAGTGATTGCATACCGGGCCGTTTAATCGAGCCAATAGCACAGCTGGTTTCAAGGTCAAGGTCAGTTGTAGTAGATTACATGATAACTGTCAAGTGATATGAAATATCAAGAATATTACATGTGCGAATTAAATCCATAGGATAACACAGTTATTTATTTGTAAGGATAATTTTTGTCAGACGTTTTGGTAAATGCAACACTGTTCATTATTTAGATTTGAATAAATACTGAAAAATAAAAACAATATTTTCTCTATTTAGTTCTGGTTTATTTTCAATGTTTTTTGTGTAACACTGAACCGATGAAAGTAAACAAGAGTCAATGTCACTGTGACCTATTTTCGTATTGCTCCGAACTTAAGTCTCGCTTAAGAGCATGGAATGTATTGGCGTGGTATGTAGACTAATTTAATTGTTTGAAGAGCTGAAAAATTATTTATAAACAAGAATACAAAACCCAAAATTTTTTTTGAAGTATACGATATGCTCTTTACACATAGTAAGCACTTCACCGTACATTTTAATAAAAGAGATTGCACCCAATATCACAGATTAACTTAAGTTAGACTTGTACACCAGCTCAGTGAACTAAATGTTAAGCCATAGCATACGAGATCGAAGGTCTTAGATTTGACTTCCAGCTCGGAGGTCGTGGATACGCTTTGCCGAAGTCTCATACTAAGACACAAAAGCCTTCCAGTACTTCTATGTTTTCGATCGCTTTCTAAATTAGATCGGTTAGTGATTTCAATGGAATATTGAGCCACTAAAGACTAGGAAAACACAACGTTAGTTACTGCTCGACAATAAAATATATGTGTATATATATATCTATATATATATATACCTCATTGCCACTCACCTTACTAACAGCAAATAAACAATCCAACAATGTTAAGTGGTAAGTTGATGCACCAAAAGAGGCATCTCTGAAAAAGATAAGAAAATATTTTAAAACTGACTATACAACCATTCAAAAAATAGAGTTTAAAACAAAGTATCAAAAGATCTTTTCATATAACCTGTACAATATATATGTATAGGTAGTGTCCAAAGGTTAAGCGTTTGCGCAAGATGGATTCGATTTCTTTGAGAAGCGGGAGTCGTGGATGCGTACTGCCGATGAGTCCCACATCAAGACGAAACGGCCGTCCAGTGCTCCCAAGTTTCTAATGGTGATCAAACATTGACTGATTCGTGATTTCAATGTGTACAAACAACAATCTGCGTAACTTGATACTGTAAAAATTATTATATACCGATTGTTTCGTGAACTTGAACTCTAATCTTATAACTGTAACTTATATTTCATTACTAACTGGTAAAGTCGGTATTAGTTTAGTATCTCTTGTGAACTAAATAATATACATATTTATCTTCCTTGTATTATTATTTGTTCAGAATTAACATACGATAAAATTTATTACACAGAAATTCAAACAACACATTTAAAAAAAGAAACAGAAACTGAAAATATTGTCAAGTTCAATTGACGCTAAATATAATTATTTATGAAATAATATATTTTTGGCATCGAATCAATTTATATTAATTGGTTTATGACAAAATGATATTTACTTTTTCGGCTGATCTGATATCTAGACTTTAATTGTTCAAATAGTATCATGCTTATTAACTAAAAAATCATGTCAGCTGAAATGTTAACATTAAAAACACCCTAATTATCAACCAATGAAAAAAAATCTCTAGTGTTGTAAAATACGTCAACAATTTGATTCTTTATTATTGGTATCAGAGGAGAGTATTAATTTGGCTTATCTAAATACAAAGTCGTCAGGATAAACTGAGTCGACAGGATATATAAATACATAACTGATACACTATAATAAATCCATTATTGGTTGGTGCATGTTCAAATCAATATCAATTAACAATTTATCTTCTTGCTGGGGAATCTGAAACTAATAAAACTGATTGTCAAAAAGTAATTAAGATTATTAACGACTATAGATTTTGTCACAAGATGAATCAATGATCTTTACAAAACATATATTAACCATGTAAAATGAGTTTGTAAAGTTGAAAAATAACATGTGATATTGTGAAATTCCATAAAAAAAATATAAATACAAGAACGAAATCATGCTCATACTATGACGTCAGAAGTAATCACAGTTAGTTGTGAATTGAGGTAAGGACATTAATTTGACCGTTTTATTAAGTTACATCATTCAAAAAGCAAGGGAAATTATTACTACTTAGTAATAAAAAGAAAAACAATTTTTAACAAAGTGATCTGGAAACAAACCAGGCAAAAAGAAATTACTATCATGCAAATAAATACGACAAGGAGGTCATTTACCGATACAAGTAATAAGAGGAGAAATATCGCAAATTAGATTTTAAAATAGGAAAAAAACTATGATCAACAATATTGATCGTGAGAATCTTCTGAAGACTATCCCGTAGTATTTTTCTTACTGTCTAGTACCATTGAATGAAATTGAGGCATACTTCACTTGTCTCGAAAACATGATTTGCCGCTAATAATTTGCTTGATGGCCATGTCGATCTGTTCAATTGTGGCTAGGTCAACATTGAATGGGAGGTCTATGGATGCTAACTGAATGTTCGATCGGTTCAGTGGAACTGGATGATTCAAGAGCTCTTCAAAGTACTCCACACATGTGTTTAGCTATCCTTCAATGTTGCTGATTGTGTTACCTTCCAAGCTTCTCACGGATCGTTTAGCATACAATAATTTACACAGGGCTTCTTTGTTGTATCGTACAGTTATCTCATGTTTCCTTCGCTGGTAGCCTTCTCCACTGTCATTGCTTGATCTTTCACATATTTACGTTTATCATCTCTGATGCTACTCTTAACTTAGCTGTTTGCTTCTGTGTATTCAGCTTGTGCCTTTTCTATCTCCGTTAATATTCGGCTGGTATTGATTGCTTCCTTTTTCTGTTACTCCTTTCTTGAATCTTATCCATAGTACTAACAGAGATGCATTTGTTGTGATGGTGGTTCTTATGGCCCAGAACCTCCTGAAATGTTGATGTGCTTGCTTCTATGATCCCTTTCCATTTGTTCGTCCTGGTAGTTTCCACTCAACTGAGTAGATGGTGAAAGGCGTGGAACCTGGTACTGATGACTATCCTAGAGAAAAGCCGTAATGAACTTTGGAATAATGTTGTCCAGTGCTTCTTAAGTTTCTGTTTTTATCTTGATCACGATCAAGAGATGATTTTAAGCTATGTCAGCTCCTCTCTTGATTATCACTTCCGCCATTATCCTTTTGAACTTTTTATTAATACCGATATGGTCGATTTGGTTCTGTGTAATGTGATCCAGTGAAACTCACGGGGCGTTGTGCATGCGTTTGTGTGGGAATATAATACCACCTATGACCAGTTTGTTGAGGACACATACGTTTGAAAATCTCTCACCGTTTTCGTCCCTTTGTCACAGTCCACGTCGTCCTAATGATGTCTTCATATACACTGTTGTCTATTTCAACCTTGGAGTTTAGGTCTCCAATCAGAAGGCTGAAGTCCTTTGTTAGGTATTTCTCAACGGTTGAAACAATAATCTTTGATAGATTATTCAGTTACACTAATTTATTTGCATAGATAACTACGTATTTTCACTGAGTTAAGATACTTCGAGTAGTATAAAATTACAGTACTTTATCTTTCCTACATTTTTAGGACATTTCATAGTCTAATAAATTAATTTATTCCATTTCTAACAATCCACACCCATAAAGTTTACTTACTGTATATTAAATGAATTTAAAATGATTTTCTTGAGATTGTGTCAACCAACCAATTACTATGCTTTTTTTAAAAAGGGGGTTTAAATTTTGGAAAATACATTTTGCTGTTTACAAGATGTTATTATCTGTTTCATAAACTACTCAGAGTTATTTTTAACTGATACAAGAAAAGACAGAATCACCTCAAATATTTTACTTTTTTTGATGAAAACTAAAGAGCAGTGTTTCAGTCTGCAACAGACAATAACAATTATTATTGCGCCAGTTCCACATATTAGGTCGAATTAGAAAGGTAAAAGCTGTCAGTTGTTTAGTCAGTGCAAAGTCTAGTACAAATTTTCACGGACGACATCACCTTAGCACAGAGGGCCATGGTATATATGAAAGAGAAGTAGGACTTAAAATCTAGAAGGATAAAGAGTAAATGGATCAGGGTAACTGTGAACGATTCCCCCCATCCATATCACATGGTGGTGACTATCACATGAACCCAAACCAAATATTTTCGATCCACTAATGTGGCTTGGACAACAATTGGTAACTTCTAGGACTGAAGAAAAGTATTCTTTCAAGTATTCTGTCAATCTTTTTTCTACATTAGAAAACATCACAATTCGAGCTATGGGCGATTATACATACGTAATGCATGTTCCAACCACTTCAATCGATGAAGATTTACAACCTTATCAACCGATTTCCAAACTTTGCTCAATACCAAATCTAACCTTAACTGTGTTCACATAGTTATCCCATGATACGCGAGCAATATTTTGAGGATAGGTGCCTATGGTCAAAACCGCTTCCTACTCACGTCTTCTAATTTATATGGACAATATTTCATATCTATATAGTAATAAAGAGAGGACTACTGCATAGTATACTTGCCCTTTGATTTGAAGACGAACAACTTGTTTAGACAACAAGAAAAGAAAACAACTAATTCAGGATCCAACCATCTGCTAGGAGGAAACGAAAGTTTTTGTTATTTTTAATCCATTTGTTTATAAATTACTTGGCGAACTGAACCCATCATTCCTGTTTTAATTTGTGTAGACTAAATGGATTATGGTCAGCTAGGAGATCAAGATTAAGTATTTCACTCAATTTGTGACTCGTCAACTGGACACGCCCTCAGTTCAGGTTGGTGTTCGTGCTGAGATTCATGAACACGAACCTTGATTTTAAGCCTAACAACCTATACTGAGTATAAAGGGCCATCAATTTAGTCCATAGACATATTTATGTCATTATTAGTAAGCGTTTATGTCACATTGGTATTTCATTCTGATTTTTATAAATATGAAAGCATTGTATGTCCCAAAACCTGCAATTATTTCTAAATTATATATTTTTATGGATGTGCAATACTAGTACATTGATAATCATCAGATAACTTTGTACTTTTTTTTTTCAAAAATGCACTTGTGATTTAATCGTTCATATGATGATAACTAACTTGAAGTGAAATTAATTCAATTATATTCACCAGTTAATAATAGTGTACTCGGTTGTGATATTTTTTTTCTGACTGATCATTTTGCTTTGACAATTGAAACTTATTAGCTGAAAAATAATATTATGTGTTCGTTTATTTTTCAAAAGAAAAATACTTAAATCTTATATTTTATTCATATGCCGTATATGAAATATATAATAGAACTTTTAAAGTGAAACATTGAATTGAATTCCATGCATATTGACAAAGTTTAAATGACATTTAATTTACAAAAATGTGTTTGCAGAAAATGATTTCTTAAAAATTATCTTCAGTTTACTATCACTATTTTCATTTTCAGCATTCGTTATTATTTATCAAAATTAGCATAAGCATTATATCGATGTACGCATTCAGTATTCAATGTGTTTTATTAGTAGTGATCATTAGAATACAATCACATAATTAATTTATCAGCCTGTTCAATATTAAACTGAATAAAATGTCGAGTTTAAGTTTTAACTAGATATCAATTTGATTATTCCTCAATTTGATGGTAAGATGGTAGATATATAAAATATGAGGCAATGGATAAAATCGTGTCATGAGTAAACAACTTTAAATGTATAAGCCTTGAAAATATGAAAGAATAATTTAATCGCAAACGAACCGCCACCTTATGAAATTTAAGTAACCTAATAATTATGATTCCCGATTCATATAACATTCATTTAAGTTATAATGGTTATTAGTCTAGATTATCAACTTTTAACTCCTAAATGAAGAAGTTCTATAAATTCTACTAAATTCAATCCTTTACTGAAAAGTGGTAACATGCATGAATTCTGTAATTTGGTGAGTCAATAAAATTCACAGCTATGTACTAACACAAACATATATACACATTTCAGAACTGGATTCAAAAAACCGATTGTATCAGTAATAATCCACACAACTGAAATACATTTCACCATCCTCACCTTAAACGTAAATACTAACCGTAACTTTTAATCATAAGTTTGTATACATCCTAATTTTTCGTGTTCTAATGTAACATGTTGTATATATATATACATAAATATATATATATATATATATATATATATATATATCACATTTGTAGTATGCATCATAATGTGCCAAATTTACCTTTTGTATACACTTACCGAAAAGGTAGAAATGGTCGATTATCATTCAAAGTTAAATGTTTATACGCTTCTTCTGGTGTACGTCCCAAATAGATAATCTAGTAAATTGTTTACATTTATATATTTATGAAAATTTCAATATATACCTGATAACTTCCAATGAGAAATGCAGCATTGGCTCGTTTACGTGAATCATATGATGTAAAGTGTGCAATCTTCTTTTCATTTAAGCTAGCAGACTAATATGAAGAAAGTTATAGGAATAATGTAAGCTCTTCTAGTAATTGTTACCTTGAACTTTTTATTTAGTTTATTACAGTATTTGTATAGTTGACCAAGACTCAGTGGACCGAAATCTGCATAAAAACTGAGAAAAATGAATAACAATAATAATGATAAATTTTGACGGAAATCATAACATACTTTTCATAGCATAATTCTTCATCAATGGAAAAGAAATGAATGGAAGAATTACTTTTGGGTGGAGTTTTGCAAGATAAAAAATAAAGACGATCTAAAAACAGGAAAAAAAAAGAAACATTACAAAATAAATAATAAACTTTTAAAGATAATCTATTGTGAACTTTGGATAAGGCTTGTCAAGTATTTATCGTATAAAAATTTCTTCTTAATTTTTTAACACTTCGCAGTGCCGTTTACTACGCCGTTCATTCAATGAATTTGCCAGTTACTTTTCTATTTCTAAAGATTCTCACGTCTATTCAGACTACAAATAATAACTGGTTCAAATCACTGCATATAAAGTGAGGTGGCTCAGCAAGTCCTGATGGTAGTTGCGTTTTACAACGCTGACTTTTCTCAAATTCTCGGTCTTACCTGAAATTTAGAGAGACCTAAATTCTAAATTTGGACAATTGGCCGAACAGCATTACAAAATTTTAATGCGGCCTTACTGTGGGATAATGGCAGACTTAACGGATTCAAGATGGTCTTCAGTAACAGGTTTCAGGCCTTTCACGACCTGCTCAATCAAGAGGGAACTAACAGGGCGAACAAATGGAAAGGGATCATAGAGGCAATCACATCAACATGTCATGAAGTTCTGGGCCACAAGGACCACCATCACAACAAATGCATCACTGTTAGTAATCTGTATATGATTCAAGAACGGAGTGACAGAAAAAGGCAGTAATCAATACCAGCCGAATAATAACGAAGATAGAAAAGGCACAAGCTGAATACACAGAAGCAAACAGCTAAGTTAAGAGTAGCATCAGAGATGACAAACGTAAATATGTGAAAGATCAAGCAATGACAGTGGAGAAGGCTGCCAGCGAAGGAAACATGAGATAATTGTACGATACAACAAAGAAGCTCTCTGAAAATTATTGTAAACTAGAATGATGATGGATTACACTACAAGATCGTGCACGAAGGACAGGTCACCAACTCATCCCCAGTGTCACACAATGTTGCTTACTATCAACCTTTCTATTTCTTCTAGTTGTCAACTGGACTATGAAAGCGTTAGCGTCTCAGGGGATGCACGGAATACAATAGTTAGCTGGGATGCTCATACTTGTACTACTTCTACCACTATAAGCTTTGAATCGACAACTGCATCTTTAAGTTTATGTGGTGTAGCAAATTGAACAGATGTATGGAGTTATACGTTGTAGCTGACTGACTGACTGGCTACTATCACCCTTTTTCTTCCTTCTGGGGGCTGACTGCATTATAAAAACGTCATCTGAGGAGAAGCATGGGATACAATGGACAGCTTGAATGAAATTGCAGATTATCTAGCCCTTTGATCCCACACACAACAATAAAAGGGGGAGAAGAAGACCAGTCTAGCAACTGCCTCAGCAGCAGTCAGCCTCATCATACACAAGGGAAAAAGCAATTTCCCGTGGTGTAGCACAACATGCACCAAGTAAATCAGAATTGACGGAGAAGCTTTGGAAGATGTAAAAACCTTTACATATCTGGGCAGCCTAATTGATGGGTAAAGTGGATCTGATGAAGATGTGGAGGCTCAGACCAGGAAAACAAGGGCAGTATTTCTAAAACTGAAGAACAACTATCGACCAACACCAAAGTCAGAATTTTCAATAAAAAGTCTAAAAAATCCTATTGAATGGGGAGGAAACTAGGAGAACCACGAAGGCTATCATCCACACCATCACCAACAATCTGCCGTGGAAGACAACAAAAGAGGTTCCAGCAGAGAGAGAAATTAGGAAGAAACGTTGAAAGTGGATAGGACACACATTGAGAAAAGCACCAAACTGTGTCACAAGGAAAGTCCATCTTGGAATCTTCAAAGCCAAAGAAGCAGAGGAAGATCACAGAACACATCACGCCGATTATTAGAAGAAGAAATGAAAAGAATGAACTGCAATAGGATAGAAATGGAAAGGAAGGCCATGGACAGAGTAGGTTGGAGAACACTGGTCGGTTGACTATGTTCCATCAGGGGTAATATGTGTAAGTAAGTAAATAAGCACATTCTAAGACGTGAACTTAATTTATTCGGTGTGTATTTGTGACATTAGGACCATTCCATACATAAATAGCCTACATTATTGAATCGATTGTCTTAACAAGACAGTATTTAGTAGACAGGATTTCCGGTCCCTCTATCGTAATAAATACGAATCTAGGTTGGAGGACTAGCAGCATAGTGGTATTAGATCTAAGAGCTCTTGTGTTTAAGAACAATCAAGCAAATAGTTACTCGAAAAGCACTTGTTATCTAGGAAAGTAGTAGATACATCAGTTCAAGTTGCCATACCACATTAGGCACAGATACGCAATTGTCAATTCAAATCCTATAGTCGTACGGTTAGTAGATGTATCAGCAGTAATGGAGAAGATTAGGGTTTGGAGATATGATTCGAGAAGAAAACTTTAGTGAGGTGAACCTAAAAGAGAAAAAATGTAACGAGGAATTTAGAAGATAATAGTTTGAGCAAAGACAAAATGGATGCACCTGCGCCATTGTAAGCGACTTTCAGCCATATTATTCGACGTTCCTAAACTCTGTTGACGAATATCAGGCGGACTCCAACCACATAGTTTGTACCACAGCTCAATCCACTTGAACTGGTGCCATATTTTGGTTTAACTGCTCCCAGCTTGTTTCCGGCCTACTCCCACATATTAGACAATGCTGCTCGTCGACGTGGGCTGTGATAGTGCATCAGTGACATATGTCCTGGCCACCACAGCTGATGAAGATTCACTTCTTCATCATTCAAATTTGCGTCTCTATCTAGTACCTCATTTCTAACACATACTGCTTACTCGGTTGTGCCAAGATACACTAAGTCTGTGAATATCATCTCTTTTTAATGACCACGTTTCACACCCGTAAAGTAGAACGGAGCGAACTGCTGCACAGCAAACTCGTCCTTTGGTTAACAGATGGAGATTACACCTAAGCCAAAAGTGATGCAAGTCGGCAAAAGCCAATCGAGCCTTCTGTATCTGTGCTGAGATTTTGTCAGACATCAGTCCATCATAACTGATCAGACTCCCAAGATAAATAAAACGGTCAACACGCTCAACTGATTAACTCCCTATGACTAGTTTGGATGCCGAGTCAAACCGATCCTGAAGCAACAGTTCGCATTGTGAGGAGGAGAATCACATGCCAAACATGCTTGTATTGCTGATTCAGGTGGTCATAAAACTCTGAATCCTGTCAGCATCTTCACCAAATAGAACAATGTTATCGGCATATTATAAGTCAACAAGCGAATCAATCTCGTGGTAGGAGGTTAACCCCTGAAAGTTCAGACGATGAAAGTGTAGTCTCTAACAGTATGTTGATGACGAATTTAAATATGAATGGAGAAAGTGGACGAATACCGCTTGAAGTAATCAATTTCGATGACAATTCGCCATAAGCCTTGACTCAACCAATAGCGTTCAAATAGGAACTCTGTACAAGACCAATGTACTTCTTTGGTACTTCTTCCAATGACAGACACTGCACTGAACCTCAAGATCAACAGAGTCGTGTGCTGTCCTAAGATTAAGGAACTATTGTCGGACGTCTAAATGTATTTCTGTGCTCTAGGACTTGATGAAGTATGGATACTGATCTGTACATTTATGTCCAGGTGTGAAAACACCTTGATTTTCCCTAGTTTACTCTTCAAGAGCTTCAATTAGGTGAAGAAGTACATACATTAGACACTGTATAGCTAACATAGTTCGGTTGAGTCATCACGATAGGCAGGCCCGACCACCACGTCAGTCTGTTAAAAAAAGAATGAATGCAAAAATGTTTCATCTTACGTTCAAGGTTTTGTTGACTTGAAAAAGGGTGATAACACCTGACAAACAGACCTCTTATGTAAGGATATGGAATGAATGATAGCTACTACTATTCAAAATAATTTATCATAAGCATCGCAATATGGTCAAGCGGTCTTGATACAACAGTAGTACAAAGGTGCGTACTGATAATGTACAAATCGAAGAATATGATTTCTACCCGCTGAAACGTTTACATTCCACTCAGCTGCCGAATACCAGAAGAAAACGTCTAGTTTGTGTCACTTTAGCTTATGTAAACCACAAATACTGGTTCGAGTAAGCAGTGATGGGTTATTATTCGACAGGAATGCTATACTTCTAATATACTTTTAAATAACCTTAAATTACAAAGAAAGAGTGAATAAATGGTTTGTAATGAATGATTAATCTAATAAGATTATTACAATCTTTGTAGCATCATGAATCGGAGTCTGGAGCAGAAAATATCTTACCTCACTGGCTGATAACCTAAAATGTTGATTTCTAATTCATCTGCTTCCAATCATCACGTCTTAAAATTAATCAGAAATGTTGGTTAACAACTTCTAGATGATATGAACACAGAACTGTTATTTAATCCTTTAGCTGTGAATTACGTACCATATCACTTAATTTATCTGAAGTAAATTATACATCAGTCGGATAAGTGAGTGTTATTTTTAAAAAAAAAATGTTTACGATACTGGAAAGAATTGGGTGAGAAATATTTACAGTGGGCATTTATCACTTTGTAAAATATTTGCGAAATTATAAAATAGTAACATCATGTGACAGTGAAACTGAAGTCACATTTATTACGCTGAGTAGAGATTTTGAGATAAGATTAAAAACCGTGTACGCATTAACGTCATTATAATTACAGAGTCTTCATCATATAAACATGTAATCAACCAACTTTATCAATATGGAATTTTATTTAAAAAAGGATGAACTTTATTGATTTTTACTCATAAAAAGCATTAAATTTTGATTAGCAGTCAGTTAACGTAGGAATTGAGTATCAATCAAAACAAGACAGATATACATCTACACATCTGCGCTCACATTCTTGCTAAAACTCGAGTCAGATTAAATGTCGGTTATAATATTTTATTAGAAGGTTACTGAGTCACAATCATTACAGATAACTTGTTCACAGGGGCACTAATATTTATTACAAGCGTTCGTATTTACTTGTTGTTCATATAGTGTTTGTTTGCATGTAGGCTCTTTAGGCTGATCCAC